CTTACTGTGATTCTGACTGGCTTCAAGTCCAGATACCAGAAGATCTACAACTAGCTATTGTCTCTTCATTGGTTAGTCACTTGTCTCATGGAAATCCAAGAAGCAAACCACAGTCTCAAGAAGTTCACCTGAAGCAGAGTATAGATCCATGGCTACAACTTGCTGTGAACTCACTTGGATTAAACATTTGCTCCATGATCTTTTTATACCTCATGATACACCGACCGTTCTTTATTGTGACAATCAATCAGCACTTCACATTGCAGTAAATCCTGTATTCCATGAGAGAACAAAACACATTTAATTACATTGTCATCTAATTCGAGAGAAGATACAAGAAAAATTAATTTCCACTACCTATATGCCTTCACATTCTCAGATTGCAGACATCATGACAAAGGCCTTGACATCTTCAACTTTTCACTCTTTGCTTCTCAAGACGGGAGTATGTAATATATACTCTCCATCTTGTGGGAGGATGTTAAAATTTGCAGAAAAAACAGCTAGTTCAGCTGCACCTCCCAGCTCAGTTTTCACCAACTCAAACAATTCAGCTGATGCTTCTACAGATCACCTTCTCCAACTCAATCTCTTCTCCAACTTAGCATGATCATGTAGAGTACACTAGAAGGATCTTGCAGAGCTCAGTAGAATCTTGAGGCATATAGAACTAGGTAGTTAGTTAGGAAAATTTCTTTTATGTGTAAAGCATTCAGATAAATAAATTTGGTATGCAATTTCCTACTCACTTATAATTAGTATAAGTATAGATGTATGTACAGCAGAAAAAGCAAGGAATGAGAATGAATCTCTTCTCTCTTTAAAGTTTCTGCACTTTATTCTTAAGAATTTCAATATTATAATTTGTAAGGCAGAAACCCAACAATATCTCAATTCATAGAATCAATATACAATAATCAGATTCAATATTAAAAATCTTGGTTCAAGCCTACAAAGCTCTTGCATTGACAAATAATAGCATCCTCTTAATTAATAGCAAATTGCAGATTTCATGTAAATGGACGGAAATTCAAAGAAATTCAACTTTGAAACCCCAAGTCCAAAAGTCAAAAATAATAACCCAAGCTCTAGAAAAACCCAAATGAGATTCCCTCTAATTAAGGGTTTTTTTTCCCAGTAAGTGTCTTTGTCAGATTATCTACATTCTAAACATCATCACCACTGCAATTACCCTCATATTCGTGAATCTGGGTCGTAGCATATAGATGTACATATATATGGTGCAAATAAGCATGGAGATCAGTTTGATTGGTGGTAGAGGATTAGGGAACAACAAAGATTTGTGATTCATTTACATGTGGATTTGATTGGCTAAACATGTAATAAAAACTAGTGGTGGTATTTGATTGTAAGAGGGGGGAGAGAGAAAGAAAGAGTATACCTGCTGCTACTTGAGGGAACAAAATGCGCAAGAAATCGTTGTAAATGGAGCTCTGGAGTCTAGCCTCTGAGTGAGTCCCTCCTACCTCGACTTCGATTGTTTGTTCGTCGTTCGAACTTTGACTTCAATGCTGTGCAAATAGAGAGATAGAGACTCAGAGAGAGAGAGAGAGGACGTTGGACCTAAGACGGTCGCGAGACGACAAGAGGCACAGACCAGAGAGGCTGAAATCGTTTTAGGGTAAAAAATGCCCAAATTGGAACCAAACACTAGTTTTTATAGATTTTAATAGATCCGACTGATTTGCTAATAACTGTTCGAGTTGGACGATTTCTACAAGGACACCCGGTTTAATGGGTTTTTCTGATTTTGTTACTCAAACGATATTTTATTGGAATCGGCCCAGTTCAGAATCCGATTTGTCGAGTTTTCAGGTTGACTCGTCAGGTTGGGCGGGTTTTAAAACACTAGTTAGAATCCTCCAAAACTCAAAGCACATACGAGAGTCACTCCATGGAAGAGGAGGCGAAACACCTTCAAATAGTACTCTAACAATTGGGTTTTAAAAAAAGAGCAATGTTATAGAGATTTTATTTGGGGACTTAATGATGTGTCTTCAATTCAGTCATTGAATTAGTTGTAAGTTTCAATGTTAGATATAGTCCGCAACCAATGTAATAGTTGTACATCATTAAATCGCTAAATAAGATCTAAAAATAAAGTCCAACAACATTTCCCTTCAAAAAATGAATGGATATGACGGTTCTCTCGACTATACCTACTTTAAAATTGTCATTTGGTGTGCACATAAGGCTGTCACAAAAATATCTTGTGGGTAAGACTAGTTGAGTTTTTTTAAAAGAAAAATTGACCAGATGATATATGACAAGTATTCATTAGATATGTATAACTTTTTAGTGGTGATGAACATTACATTGCAATGCCACGTGGGTGTATTAAACCCACTGAAAGTTCAGGGATACTCAGTGGCCTTGACCATAACGTTCCATAACACTGTAATATACATATAGTTTGTTTAGTAGACGTATTATAAGTAGATTATATTATACTATTATATATTTAATCGGGTTTGGTAAATAAATTTGATTTTGTATTAAATTCAAAAATTTATATTAATCGTATATTTTTAGCATCATAGACTTGAATTATGGAGATATTTTAATACTAGCGGGAGAGGTGGTATTATAATCTATCTCAAATATATTATTATACATATTTACTATTATAACTCCGTAATTGATAAAACAAAACTGTCATCAATGTAACAAATACTGATTTAGAGTATTTTTATTAATTCAACATTAATAACATAAAATAAAATCTTAATCAAATAAACGATTGAATTAAATAATTATTATTTAACGCTTATATTGTGTGTTGCCAAACGCAATATAAAATTATGTATTATTCTAATATTATATTTAATCTTGTTTTTTATTCATCTATATTATATTAAACTGTATTATTTTATTCAATCTATTCATTTCTAATACGACAACCAATATCGTATTATCTTGAATGTGAAGGGATTATATTCCTTATATTCGAATCAGTGCACCAAGTCATTGAAGCATAATTTAAGTCCAGTTATCTGCATAGCCACAAGGTCACATTTCCAAAAATACAAACACAGCAATTGGAAATTAAAACAGTAATTTTTGACATCAATGCATGGGGTGCATGTAAATATATGTTCATACATGCATCCACATAGGATAGGTTAGGATAATAACAATTTTGAGAAATTGGACGAAAATAATGTTAGAGAGAGAAAAGGTAGGGCAAAGGAGGGTATTCCTTCCGACCGATCACATCAAGATTAGAAAAGCAAAATCACGGATTCACAACGTTACAAAAAAGTACAGCCTCAACGTAACATGCACCATTCACAAATGGACAGAAGCCCATGGTTTTTGGCCATCCCCCTATCCCCCCCCCTCTCTCTCTCACCTTTCTTCCCTTGAGTCTTTGAATGTCAGAGATGTTCTAAGTATGATTTCACATGCTAGTCTTGATGTATTGTTGCTTTACTGTCTGCCTAAGCTCACCCACCACCACCTCCTCCTCCTTCTCTCCAACCTATAAATTGGGGGGGGGGGGGGTTAATTGACCTACCTATATTATATAATTTGGCAAAGACACCTTAGTTAAATTAAGTATTCAAATCATATCTCAATGTCATTGTTCACTAAAAAATAATAAAGAGTAATGTTATTCAAACTTAAATTAGATCTCAAATAACATTTTCCAAAATATATTCAACATAGAGTCCAAGATTGCATTGGTTTTCATGAAGTCACAAGTACCCCTTAATGCAATTAATAAATGAATAAGCAGCCCTAGTGGACATGACGCTGCAAAAAAAAAAAAGACATACAAATTTTATGAAGCGCAATTTTTTAATTTCTGTCTTATGCCTTACAACACCATTTATAAAGAACAAACCCTATTTCTATTAAAACATGCAACTAAGCAAAAAATATCGAAAAAAATAAAATAAATCAAACTCAATGCATGTGGTGGTGATTGACTCTAATGATCATAATGGCTAGGATCAAGACAGATTCGATGGTGATTGATTCTGATTTTTATTATAGAAGTTACCATTGAAACAAAACTATCTAAATAATTATAAACGAGGAGAATTTAATGGGTTAAACGAGGAATTAGACTGAAAAGGGAGGTCATGACAAACAGAAGAAGTATAGCTCCTGATGATCTCGACATTTCTAATAGGAAGTACAAATTTCACTACCAAGACAAGATTCCTATAATCAGCTTTTGGTCTTTCAAGGATTTAATTGTTTCACGAAATTTGCTACTCCCCGTTTTACATGAGAACTCCAAGCCATGTTATCTTATTCCTCTGTACAACACGATAGAATAGATAGTAGGTAATATAGACCCTTCAAATCAACAGCCCTCAAATCAACAGTTGCTCATTAGAAAACTTGCATTCCCATTGCAATTGTTTGGCCTTCTTTCATAGGATCAGCCAGAGTCCAAAATTTCACAACTTTGGAAACCCTAGTTCTCACATCAATATTTCTTTCCCATTCATTTATGGTACATTTATCCTTTAGTGGTGGTTTAGTGGTTGAGTTTAACCTTTGATAAGTGAGAGATTTTAAGTTCAACATTTCTCAAATTCTTTAAAGGCCAGTTATCCTTATTTTTTAGGGGACATGTTTTAAGCCCCTTAGGTTACAGTGACTCATATTTGAATTTGAAGAAGTAGTCATTACGAGCGTAAACACCATTTAACAAAAAAAAAAAAAAGAGGTGCATTTTTTCACACAATCTAAATAATTGTAGACATATATTTTTTGGTGAATGTGGACCTCTTACTATAAAATGCCTATCGATTGTCTCATTGCTGGTTGGGGGCCCCAAGCTATGTATGGGAAAAATGATAACCAGCTAATGAAAAGTTGAATAGATTCGATCTATCAATTCAACGGACTTTTGTCACAGGCAAGCAACAAAAAAGGGTAGCTAGTGAATAAGACATTAGAAATTTCTATGGCAAAAAAGGTTAACAAATGGATAATCATTTCTAGGTAGTCCATTGCATAAAATGCAGTTCAATAAGTTAACAGAAAAGCAGATGATTTTTTGTTGGTCACCAAGTGATGGATAAACCTCGGAATTGTAGTAAGAATGCTCTATTACGATCCGGACATCAACGGTTTTGATTTATGAAAATAGTTTCTGTAACTGGGGTTACCCAGACAAATCTGAAGTCTGAGTGAGGTGAGGGGAGGCAACAATAATTCCCAAAAGGTATTAGGAAAATCCCCTCTTATTATATTACAATAATACATTTAGCAATGAGTACTCCAACTTAAATACAATTAACCCCTTTAGACTCTGTTAAAAATTTATACCTTCAGCATATGAAAACTAAATTTTTGGAGCCGTCCCATGCATATTGATTACAATTCGGGTGAGTCGAATACTCTAAACTGGTGCTTACTAGCAATCTAAATCCCAACATTCCAGGAATTGAACTTTGGAACTACCTGTCTTTCTTCTCATATGCCGGCAAAATGCAACGATAAAGTTATTTTTATTTGGGTTTGAATTGCAGTGTAAGGTTATGTACATCTGAGAATGAATATACATGCAGATTCATGCATTTGCTAGAGTGTTGTGTATTTAACTGCCATTTATTCTAGCCAAATTGATGTTAAGAAAGATTAAACGCCAAGACAGTGAGACTGAATATGCACGACTGCAAATTCATGCATTTGCTAGAGCTTGTTGCCAACTAGCAAATTGGCAGCTGCCCTTCAGCCCCAGACCCCCAACCCTTGTTCACATGCTCTGTCTAGGACTTTTTTGTTGTTTTTCACCCCTCACCACCTCTATATAGCCTCTCACACTCTCTACACACACATCAACAGTACTGCATTCTCTCTCTCTCTCTCTCTCTCACCACAGAGCAGAGAACTCAACAATGGAGTCCTCCAAGTTCACTGCTGTTCTTCTCATTTCCATGGTGTTCATCTCCTCGGCCAACCCCATTCTTGATTGTGGCTCTTGCTCCAAAGAACCTCCCAAGCACGAGACGCCCAAGCCTCCGATTACCCTGCCCGTGCCACCTATCGTAAAACCACCGGTGACCCTTCCACCGGTGACCGTGCCACCTATCATAAAACCACCTGTGACCCTTCCACCCGTGACCGTGCCACCTATCGTAAAGCCTCCGGTAACCCTACCCCCGGGGACATTGCCGCCTATCGTAAAGCCACCGGTGACACTTCCCCCGGTGACCTTGCCGCCAATTGTGAAACCACCCATTACCCTCCCACCAGTAATTCTTCCTCCAATCAAACCACCCATGACCCTCCCACCAGTGATTCTTCCTCCGGTCATCACCCACCCGCCGAACGGAAAGGCCTGCCCTCCACCATCCACGACGCCATCATCACCGCCGGCGGCGACATGCCCAATTGACACACTTAAACTTGGAGCCTGTGTGGATCTTCTTGGTGGGTTGGTGCACATTGGACTTGGTGACCCAGTGGCTAATGAATGCTGCCCAGTTCTTCAAGGGCTTGTTGAGCTTGAAGCTGCAGTGTGTTTGTGCACTACACTGAAGCTCAAGGTTCTGAATCTGAGTATCTATGTCCCACTTGCCCTTCAGCTCCTCGTCACTTGTGGGAAGACACCTCCTCCTGGTTACACTTGCTCTCTGTAGATCTCAGTTAAGTATTGAGCTTCTTTTCAAAACCCTAACCCTAATTTTTAGATGTCTCTGTTCATGTTCATGTGCTTATAATTATATTCTTTGTGGGAGTAGTACAATCTTAAACTCTATAGCTCAGACGAAAAGACTGAATGGGTTACCATCTTGAGGTCTCAAGTTAAAATTTCTTAAGATAGCTTTGGTTAATCGGTCGATGAACATGGTTTGTAGCAGGGGCGGATTTCCACTGGGGCAGTGCAATCCTAAAAAACTTTTGGATTCATTTAAAATTTTCAATTTTTTTAGAATTTTCCCCTACTAAAAAATTTTGTAAAATTTTATGGCTACTTTTATACTTGAATAATATTTTTGGGACTACAAATTTAATGTAATTTACTGACCTAATTATATGTTAAAATGATTTGATACCACTAAGAAGTTCACGAGCTGCAACAAGTTGTAATTAAAATAATATTATTGGACCATATTAGTTGTTACATCATTAGGTTATCAAATTAACTAAATATTTTAGGTTTAAATAACACTACTCTTTATATTTTGGTGAATAACATAATGTTTTGAATTAAAAAGCATACATAAGCTTCTTCCATATGATTCAATGTCATGACTCCCTTCTTGGTCCCTATATTATGTGCACGTGTCTCAAATATGAATTAAAATCGAACTTGAAATTTGAAATTTTAATTGTAAAATTATAGTGTAAGCTTTAAATCTTGAAATCAAACCTAAATATTAATGAATCAACATGTTTGTGATATAATTAAATAGCTGTGATTTTAATTTAGCAATGAGTTACAAATTGCCCACACTAAATCAAAGTCCTAGCTCTGGCACCGGTTTGCAGGTGATTTACATGCATTGGGTGTTGATGTAATATCCAAAAGTTCAAAAAAATACATGGTTGGCAGGGGATTAAGCTCCTCTTTTATTAGCCCCATTCCGTTTAAATGTTGAGAATTTCTTCATATCAACATAACCACGCCAAGAAAATTAGACAATTGTCCAATTATTTTGTAACTGGACTTGAAATAATTATTCTCTCTAGTATTGAACAATAGATTATGGTCACTCTTGGCTCATTAATCTTTGATTGATGGCTTTGCAGGGCTGCTAGCAAGATTGAAGGACGACCGATGAAGGCGACATGAGAGGATGTCTACTTTCCGAATTCTCTCTCTCTCTCTCTCTCTCTCTCTCTCTCAATTGTTGAAACTTCTAGTGTTTGGCTTTATTGTACACCAATTGATTCTCCAAAATTGTTTCATGTTTTCGTGTTTTGTTGTAGACAAGTAAGGTCTCAAGGATGCTTTACTTTCTCATTTTCAATATTCATAGACTCTCAGCGGCTTGTTGTTTTCTGTTACTGTTACCCGAAACATATGCATCCATGCCCATGCACATATACTCTGTCTGTATACTAAATATATACTCCCATGCATATATTTTGGGTATGTATGTGAAGCCCATATCTAGTACTGTTCGATCTCCACGGTATAGATTCCGTAGAAGGAAATAACTTGGAATAATACGTAATGAAAAATATTATTTAAACCTAATTTGTAGATCTAATGTATCACATTCATCGAATTGATAGCGGGTCTCAATTGTCAACTAATATTGAAGTTCACTGTCTATCCAACGATAGTGATTGATTAAATCAACAAATTATGTCACTAAATTAAGTTCAAATATCATTACTCGTCTAGAATAAATCTAATCGGGAGACATAGCAAGTGCTCTTTCACATAAATGATATGTTGCAAGTTCAAATTTAGAAAACTACATTTTCAAAAAGAGGTTAGACTGCTTACAATTTGTGTCTCTCAACCTCCGTTTTAGACGAGAGCATTGTTGAATGGTTTCAAAATTTTTTAACTGATTATGTCTATAGTGCTCACATTTATTAATGGTAGTATTATTGTTAAAAAATAATTAAGCCATTTCCAAACCAATAATTGTTTCAGTAATAGTCCTTTAAGCAATGACCTCGTGCATGAATATCATTGAAGGCTTTGTTTACAGTGTCAAAATGAAAGACTCAATAGTGAATACGTGTGGATGATATAATTTATAGATATTTACCAATGAAGACCTGACATGGCCATCAGATGGTTGAAGCGGTGGGAACATGTGTGGTATAGCGGTCCCATTAAGCACAGTGAATGTGGTTTCTGGGACTGGGGTCTCTATTCTAAAGATTTTTTTTCCAATTAGTGATATACATACAGAAATCGTGACATGCAAAGCCTACAAAAAGTTGGGCAGCAAAACCAACAGTAAAACTTGGGTAAACCGAACCGAACCCCGAGTTTTATACATTTTTTTAAAATTCAAACTTAGAATAAATGAGTTTCTGTCTCGTGTCTTGTTCAATTATTAAATTAATCCATGGAGTTTGCATGTTGTATTGACAAAAAAAGTAGGTACACAATTTAAAACCTATAATGAATGGGGGTGAGAGTGGAGTTAGAAATTTCGTTGCCAACAGAAGTGGCTACGTGTCCAACCAACTGGTACACACTTGATTATTGATATTAGTAATTTTGAACCATTATTTTTTATTGGATTACTTATAGTCAATTTAGAAGTTTTACGGATTAAAGTGACATAATTGAAAGAAAATAGACCAAAAAAAAAAAAATGAGAAGGATTGCATATTTTATCAACCATTGTTGCAAATTTTGGAAGCCTGTTTTATTTTCTTGAGGTATTCCAAACAATATGCCGTGAAATTATTTGTATAGATTTCATTTGATGTTTTTACACAAGTCAATAATTACAATCGCATATTTCTTTTATTAGTTCGACGGTGAAGACTGTTTATATCAACTTATGTGAACATTGATTAATCTCCTCTTTGATCTGGTCAAAGACAGACCATCTACTCCGATACTAAAAGATAAATCATTCGTGATTTGGTCCCAATGGATAGCTAAGGTTCAAACTTCTAGCACCATTAATCAGTGTTCTTCGTTCTATGTTGCCTATTTTGACGGAAAAATAACTTTTATTTTACTACTTTTCGGACAAAAAAAAAAAACCAACATCCATTTTTTTCCCTGATTTGCCATGTAAATTTGAACATAAATTATTGGGGCAATGTAAAACTCAAACCAATAATTTAAGAGCAAGAGCAATGCTATACGAACCTCATTTTGGAACCTAATAATGTGATTTCAATGTAACAATTATATTAATTGTGAGTTCTAATGTTAGATGAAATCCACAACCAATTTAATGATTGTTTATCATTAAGTCTCTAAATAAGGTCCAAATAACATTTCCCATAATTTAAAATACAATGTAAGCGTGGTGATTCAGGAGATCTAAATCTAATTGGCCTATATTATTATAACACCATCGATATTTCCCTGAACTTCTTTAATATTTACTCCATTCTCTTAAACAAGGAATGAGAAAAACTATCAATTTTTCTTTCATACGGTACACAACAGTATAATTCTTTGTAGGATGAACTGCAAAATACACACAATCTTGTATAAGTTAAGAGAATTTTTGAAAAGAACTGCTTATCACAACATTGATAGGAAGGCATGCACAATCAGGCCATGAGAACAACAAACAGCTTCGGTGATAGAATCCATAGAGGAGTGCTGAAACAGAAAACATGATTATACAACTATATATAGTTATGAAATATATTATTCAACTGACAACTAGTAATGTTCGCGACGCGTACCTGAAAATGCAGTTTTCAGTAGCTAATTCCTTTTACTAATTCTGTGTCTACGAGCTCTCTTGCTTGTTGTCCCATTTTTGCGTCGTTCACCTTCAACTAGCCTTACAATCCACATAGGTTTTCCTATTGAGAACATAAGGTATCCCATAGAAAGCCCAAGTACAAGTCCACATCCATATCCCATGAACGTCATTTTCCAATCAAATCCACTTGAAAACTCTAAAGAATCATCAATCAATGGTGGAGGTTGTGGTGCCCCAGAGTTGCCACATTTCTTCAGCAATGGAAATCCGCACAACCCAGAATTGCCATCATATGAATCCGCTGGAAATGTATCGAATTGGTTGCCTCGAGGTATGGGTCCTATTAGTTGGTTGTGAGAAAGCTTTAAAACTTCAAGAGATTTCAGCCTCGCTAATTCCTGTGGAATCCCCCCAACAAGCTTATTTGATGAGAGGTCTAACCATTCAAGCGTTCTCAAATCCCCAAGTAATGTTGGGATATGGCCTACAAGCTTGTTATGGGATAAGTTAAGGCCGCGAAGTGAATTTAGCTTTCCAATTAACTTGGGAATCTTTCCTTCAAAATTATTCTTCGATACATCGATAGCTGTGAAGATGGTTAGGACTTTCACCATTTTAGTAGTTGATCCTTTCATTGTTATAGTGAAGGAATCATAATAATCTTCAGAGAAGACCACCAACGGGGAGGTCATGTACTCTAGCTTGAATTTGCCTTCATCAATGTTCATCATAGCTTTAAAACTTTTGAAATAGTTTGTAGGCAAAGGCCCAATGAAACCATTATCTGAGATGTCAAAGACTCGCAGGCTAAGGAAGGGAAACTCGGTCATGGAAGTAGTTATGAATCCATGGAATCGGTTAGAACGTAAGATAAGAGTGTGAAGGAAAGGAAGATTTTCCAACCAGTGTGGAAATGTGTCACTTATCTTGTTGTTTCCGAGATCTAGCACTTCCAAATGCCTGCAATTGACCAAAGATTTTGGTATAGGCCCTTTGAATGCATTACCATTTAAATTTATAGCTTCCAAGTTGATGCAGTTTCCAAATTTGTTAGGAATGTTTCCACTAAAGTTGTTCTTGTGAAGATCAAGGACATAAAGATACATGCTCATCTCTCCCAAACATTGTGGAATTGCACCACTTAAGTTGTTACCAGACAAATCGAGAACTGTAAGACCTTCTGCACAGCAAATTAGGGTCGGGATCTCTCCAGACAGTTCATTGTTTGAGATCGAATAAAACCTTGTAGAAAACGGTGGAACAATAAGTGGCCCTTGAAGCAAGTTGGATTGAAGGTTTAAATTTAATAGGCCTTCCCATGGAATTTTATCTAAGTGGGTGAGAGAATTATGAGAAAGGTCAAGAAAGAACAAAGTATAATTCCACATGTCATAGGCCCACTGGGGAATTGGACCATAAATTTTGTTGTTGGAAAGGTCTAGCTGTTCCAGGTTCTCTTGGGTTTGTAAGAACTCTGGGAATGCAGTTATATTGCAAGAGGACAAAAACAAGCGGCTGAACTGGGGCAAGGTCGAGTTTGGACTGATTTTTGTGTTCACCGACAGATTGTTTCGTGAAAGATCAAGAGACTGGAGATACTTTTGCTTTGACAGCATATGCAGTTCCACCTGACCGCTGAAATTATTTGATGAAAGATTGAGATCAGTAAGGTTAACAAGTTCAAAGATTGAGCTTGGAATGTTACCATGCAGCTTGTTATAACTCAACTCAATTACTTCCAATGATTTGGATTGAAATTCATAAATTGGGCCACTAAGTTTGTTCTCACTGAGGTCTATACCAACCAATGCTGGTAGGTCAAACAACCAAGATGGAATTGCTCCATTGATGGAGTTGTCAGCTAGGTATAGCGAGACAAGATTTGCAAGCCCATTCACTTGTGAAGGTAGAGTTCCTGATATTTGATTATCAGACGCGTCGAGAGAAACGAGTTGTGTTGCATTTGCAAATATTGATGAGATTGGTCCACTGAAACCATTCGTTCTGAGATTTAAATCAAGAACTTTTATTTTAGGAAACACACTTGCAACTGATCCTTCAAAAGAGTTACCCGAAAGATCTAACGAAATAAGATGCTCAAGTTTCGAAAGGGAAGGTGGTACCTCACCACTGATATTGTTTCCACTGAGGTCCAAATGAGTGAGTTGTGTTAGATTGCCAATTGATTCAGGTAGTACTCCAAAAAGATTTGTCCATCGCAAACTCAAAAACTGAAGGGCACTGCTCAAGTTAAATTCTGAAAAATAACCTTGGAGAGCCATGTTATTATCTAGTATCAGAACCTTCAGATTTGGCAGGTGGAATAATTTTGCAGGGAATTTTCCATGCAATCCACAGTCAGAAAGACTGAGAGTTTTTAAAGTAGTCAGATTCGCCAACGAG